TATATAAACAACATCTTATGGCCTCTGACAGTGGACTCATCTCTGTGCTTGTCCTGCTAGACCTTAGTGCAGCATTCGATACTGTCGACCATAATATCCTATTAGAGCGATTAGAACATGCTGTAGGTATTACAGGTACTGCACTGCAGTGGTTTGTATCATATCTATCTAATAGACTCCAATTTGTTCATGTAAATGGAGAGTCCTCTTCACACACTGAGGTTAATTATGGAGTTCCACAAGGTTCAGTGCTAGGACCAATTCTGTTTACATTATACATGCTTCCCTTAGGCAGCATCATTAGAAGACATAGCATACATTTTCACTGCTATGCAGATGACACCCAGCTCTATCTGTCCATGAAGCCAGATAACACACACCAATGAGTTAAACTGCAGGAATGTCTTAAAGACATAAAGACCTGGATGGCCGCTAACTTTCTGCTTCTTAATTCAGATAAAACTGAGGTTATTGTACTCGGCCCTGAAAAGCCTAGAAATATGGTATCTAACCAGATTCTTACTCTGGATGGCATTACCTTTGCCTCCAGTAACGCTGTGAGGAACCTTGGAGTCATTTTTGACCAGGACATGTCCTTCAATGCACATATTAAACAAATATGTAAGACTGCGTTCTTCCATTTGCGCAACATCTCTAAAATTAGAAATATCCTGTCTCAGAGTGACGCTGAAAAACTAGTTCATGCATTTATTACTTCCAGGCTGGACTACTGTAATTCATTATTATCAGGATGTCCAAAAAACTCACTGAAAAGCCTTCAGTTAATCCAAAATGCTGCAGCAAGAGTACTGACAGGGACTAGAAAGAGAGAGCATATTTCTCCTGTTTTGGCTTCCCATCATTGGCTTCCTGTTAAATCCAGAATTGAATTCAAAATCCTGCTCCTCACATACAAGGTCTTAAATAATCAGGCCCCATCTTATCTTAATGACCTTGTAGTACCATATCACCCTATTAGAGCACTTCGCTCTCGCTCTGCAGGCCTACTTGTTGTTCCTAGAGTATTTAAAAGTAGAATGGGAGGGAGAGCCTTCAGTTTTCAGGCCCCTCTTCTGTGGAACCAGCTTCCAGTTTGGATTCAGGAGACAGACACTATCTCTACTTTTAAGATTAGGCTTAAAACTTTCCTTTTTGCTAAAGCATATAGTTAGGGCTGGACCAGGTGACCCTGAATCCTCCCTTAGTTATGCTGCAATAGACATAGGCTGCCGGGGGATTCCCATGATGCATTGAGTTTTTCCTTTCCAGTCACCTTTCTCACTCACTATGTATTAACAGACCTCTCTGCATTGAATCATATCTGTTATTAACCTCTGTCTCTCTTCCACAGCATGTCTTTTATCCTGTCTTCCTTCTCTCACCCCAACCGGTCGCAGCAGATGGCCACCCCTCCCTGAGCCTGGTTCTGCCGGAGGTTTCTTCCTGTTAAAAGGGAGTTTTTCCTTCCCACTGTTGCCAAAGTGCTTGCTCATAGGCAGTGTTGGGGAGTAACGGAATACATGTACCGCCGTTACGTATTTAGAATACAAAATATGAGTAACTGTATTCCGTTACAGTTACCGTTTAAAAAGGTGGTATTCAGAATACAGTTACTTTGTTGAAATAAATGGAATACACTGGGGTACTTTCCTGTTTCATTTTGTCGCGGGTCAGGACTGTTTGGGTTTTGTTTGACAGCTACGTTCTTTTGTTCCAGGCGGCAGCGTTACGGTTGCCATGGTTACAGGGCGACGCTCTCTCTCTCTGCGACTGTGTGTTTCCTGGGTGAGAGAGCGCCTTTTCGTTGTTGTTGTTGTTGTGCTAAGCTAACAGGCAGAATGCTACAAGCATAGCTCTAAAGAATGTAGCATCATGTTCAGTGTAGTCCGTGCTGCTGGGAGAATGGACTGCCATACACGTTATGTGTCTGTGAGCGCTAGGAGGGAGAAAAAGGGAAGTGGAAAGGAACGAGCAGTCATCGAGCAAAAACGGGAGCTGGAAGCATGTAAATATAATAATAACCACTGCAGCCAAGAAGAGTGCCTGACGAGCCCAGTTGTAAGTAAGCTATTAAGACTCGACTGTACACTGTGTTCGTGTTTTCCTCCGAAAACAACAAGTTCCGTTGGAGCAGCCTTTCAACGCCTCTCTCTGTCTGTCGCAAGAAAAGTTGACCCACACAACAAAGTAGAGCTATTTTTCGGCTACCAGCCGACAGGGACCCCGCCGTATTATGCTGGGCTTACACTGTGCGATTTTTTCAGTCGCGCGATTCAGCTCCTGCTCAAACTGTACGATTGACTCGCAGGGGTTAGAAGTTCATAGGTCACGATGCAGGGTCTCACACTATACGGCCTGATGCTCTGATGCGACCTGAGTGCTCACACTGTGCGTCCATAAAAATGAAGGTTATAACAGAAATTCTGTCGCTCGCTCTCCCTCTCCGTCTTTCACTCACACAGACACACCACCACCATCAACTTTGCTAAATTGCTAATGAAAAACATTGGTCAGGCAGCTGTGATTGAGCAGCAGTGTCGATCCAACTATTTTCACGGTTGTTGTGGTCGTGATAATTTTGTGAGGCCACATCGAAAGGGCTCGGATGGTTCTACAGGTTGTGCCTCCATCGCTTGTGTCCAGATCACACGCTGCACTGCCGTGCTACGCCGTCTTTTTCGCTGACATTTGTGTTTGCGCGTGCGCAGTGTGGCAAACTGCGGCGACACCCTCACGACCAAGCGATTGATGATCGGGAGCTGGTCGTGAGGTGTCAATCGCTTCTCGTTACCCCACGTATACTACACGATGCACGACGCACGATGAAGGCCAAAATCGGGCCGATCGCCAAAACGATCGCACGACTCAAAAATCGGCTCAAAATGGGCCAAAAATCGCACAGTGTGAGCCCAGCATTAGTCAGAGGTCCCTTTACTACAGTTTCTGAGTCGCGGACCTTCAGTAATAGTAATAAATCACACAGCAACAGTACATTCACGTTCACGGGCAGGGATAGCTCAGTAGGTAAAGTGGTCGCCCCATGATCGGAAGGTCGGCGGTTCGAATCCACTTAACGGCTACCCTGAGGTACCCCTGAGCAAGGTACCGTCCCTACACACTGCTCCCCGGGCGCCTGCTTAGTGGGCTGCCCACTGCTTCACTGAGTGAATGGGTCAAATGCAGAGAAAAACAAGTAATTTCCCCATGGGGATCAATAAAGTATCCATTATTATTATTATTATTATTGTAAAAAGCATGATAATATTGTAGCGGGTCAGGGCTGTTCGGGGTTCTGCTTGTACAGTTATGTTTTGTGTATGTTGCCATGGTGACGGGTGACGCCCTCTCGCTGCGACGGTGTGTCCTTCCGGGGTCAGAGGGCGCCCTATGTGTGTTGTGGTTGCCGCGCTGAGCAGTTAGCTAGTGGCAGTGTGTTCTTCTGCAAATGTAATAAACGGCTGTGCTCCCTGGCTAGCTCACGGGAAGCAAGACCAAACGATACCTCCGTCTCCTCCTTGTCTGAACTCGCCACAATATATTAAGTAATCCAAAGTATTCAGAATACGTTACTGTCATTGAGTAACGTAACGGAATAGGTTACAGAATACATTTTGGGGCATGTATTCTGTATTCTGTAATGGAATACATTTTAAAAGTAACCTTCCCAACACTGCTCATAGGGGGTCATATGATTGTTGGGTTTTTCTCTGTATCTATGAAGCGCCTTGAGGCAACTTATGTTGTGATTTGGCGCTATATAAATAAAACTGAATTGAATTGAATTGATGTTGATGTTAACGTGGTCTACTCTGTACTTGTGTTTGGTTCAGCCAGTCATTTCAGTTCAGCCAGTCATCCTATGTTCGGTTCAGCTGCTCGTGATAATAAACACCAGCCTTCACCTACCTGTGAGTCCAGCGTTTGGGTCCTCCTTTCCTCACCCACACAGTACCCACTGACAATTCATCCTCAAGCATCCAGGTAAGTAAATCTCCAAAGGTTGATTCTGCTTATCTGGATGTAGCGTTTTCAGTGGGAGAAACATTTTGTCACTCATCCAAGTGACCTCTTCAGTCTCAGCTGACTGCAAGCTTAACCAATCTTATAAACAGTACATTTGCATAATGACTGAAACCAGCCCAGTGAAGGAACAATGGGCTGGGAGGTCAGTTCCTTCATCAGAATTATGCAAATTCTCATGAGAGCAACAGGACCACTCTCAGCATCGACCAGGTGTGTTTGCTTTTGGAACTGTGTCTTCATTCCACCTACTTCACATACAAGGGTCAGTACTACAGGCAGAAACATGGGTGTGCCATGGGCTCCCTAGTTTCACCCATTGTGGCCAATTTGTACATGGAAGAAGTGGGAAAGAGGGCTTTGTTATCCTACCCTGAAACAACACCAAGCCATTGGTTCAGGCATGTGGATGACACCTGGGTGCATTTTTAAATACATATTTGGCCTTGTATGATAAACATTGTCCATTGGTATCATTTAAGTATAAGAAAAAGAATAAGAATATGAAACCTTGGATAACTAAGGGTCTTGCAAATGCATGTAAAAAGAAAAATAATTTATATAGGAATTATATAACACAGAGAACTAAGAATGCGGAAATGAAATCTAAAGTTTATAAAAATAAGTTGGTATTAATATTGAGGAAAGCCAAGAAAGACTACTATAATAAACTTTTTCAGGAAAACAAGAATAATATTAAGGGCATTTGGAATATTTTTAAGGAGGTATTGGGTAACAAGAACACACCCTTAGATCGCCCTAATTATTTTATTAAGAATAATCAAGTTGTCGAAGACAAGACTGAAGTAGTAAACGAATTCAATTCCTTTTTTCTAAATGTTGGACCTAAAGGTCGTTCTACAAAGTATTGACTCAGGGGGCTGAATAATTACGCACACCCCACTTTGTAGTTATTTATTTATAAAAAATGTTTGGAATCATGTATGATTTTCATTCCACTTCTCACCTGTACACCACTTTGTATTGGTCTTTCACATTGAATTTCAATAAAATTGATTCATCTTTGTCGCTGTAATGTGACAAAATGTGGAAACGTTCAAGGTGGCCGAATACTTTTAACATCCATGTAGATGCTAAAAATGACACATTCCAGATCTTGTTTTAACATATGGCATAGAAAATGAACATTTAAGAATTTTTCTTGAAAACCCTCTCTTGTCTAGTAATTTCCAGATAACATTTAAATTGCCTTGGTAAATCATGCACTTGATGGTGACCTGTGTAATCGGCTTGAAGTTGTTCTGCATTGTTGTTAACAACATTACCACTGAATTCCTGATGAAAGCTCTTAGGGTCCTGTTGATGTTGTATAGTTCTACGCATTCCACTATCGATCTGCATGGTGTTGAGTTTTCCACTCTGGTGTTTCTGCTAATTTCTATCTCTGCCTTTATTGAGCCATATGCCTGTTCATCTTAGCCACTATGATGCCCGACAGGAGCTTCCATGTGGTACTGAAAATCTGAGGCAGGTTATTGGCTGGTAGTTGGATTGGACAGATCCCTTCTGAGGACCCTTGGGGATCAGGACTGCCCACTGTTCGATTAGCTTTTATGGTTGCGTTTAACCATTAGCAGCTACTCTGTGTTGGATGTCTACAACTGTGATGTTACTGGATCCTGTTCAGGGACCTTGCTGTAATCTTCTCCCAGCTCTGTTAGCCACAGGTTGCATCCTTCTCCCATTAGGTCTTCCAGTATTGTTCTGTCTCCAGCCTTGGTGGGGCTTTTCTCATATTGTTCATCTGACACTGAGAGTACACCTTGGATGGTTCAGTGGAGAACATCTTGTTTGTTATAATGGCTTCTATCTCTCTGGTTTACCATTTCAAGTGAATGAGTCTTTGCTTGGCAGTTTCTAAGGCCTCAGGTATTGGCAGCTTGCTGTACCTAGCATTCCTTTTTACATCACATCTTTGTGCAGCTCTGATAGTTGGCTAACTGCCCTCCATGCTACATTGATCTTGGCCTCTAGTTTCATTCTCCATTAAAAGTACTGCTTTTTATCTTGTAGCCAAGCATAGTAGTGATCCCTGCCAACAAGGTGTAGGGTGTAGTTGGTCATGGTAGGGATTTCCCATAATGGTGCATTCACATCTTCTTATAGACCTTACGACTGTAGTTCACTGAATCAAATGAAAGCCTTTATATAAATTTAAATAAAGACATCAAATGACTATCTAAGGGAAGGAAGACAAAATAAAATAATAAGTAATTCTAGGATGTTTGAATATGAACTCAGGGTGGTGATAGGCAGCTTAATGAAGGATGTCTCCTCCTCCATACTCCAGGTTCATGTAAACCTGCATGGATCAAAACAACAAATTACTTTTGGGTCAACTCAGAAATTATTCTAAATAAACATTTGACAAACGACTTTCTGTTGGTGGCTAGTTTTGAAATCTGTCCAAAATAGGCAAGTCTATTACTTTACTGACCTGACCAGAGTCTTTAATGAAGTGCCTTCAGAGACCAAAACATCAGCTTCAGTTCTTCATCAGTTTTCTTTAACTTGTTCAAACTCAGGTCAAGCACTCTTAGGGGACATTGGGTCGAGTTAAGAGCTAAGGACAGATAATCGCAGCCTTTATCTGTAATCTGACAGTCCTTTATCCTGTAGAAGGAAAGATTTTTATTTAACAGTGACTGCTGTTTTTTATAGTCTCCACATAGGGAAAATAGATATTATACCTTAGAGTCTTAAGTCTAAAGTTTTGAGTCGACAATCCAATCGACAGAAGCTTTACTCCTGAATCTTGTAGTTTGTTGTGACTCAGGTCTAGCTCTCTGAGATAGGTGGGATTCGACTTTAGAGCTGAAGCCAAAGAAGCACAGCCATTTTCCATAATCAGACAGTCCTTCAGCCTATGGAAATATAAAAAAAAAATACAATAAAGCGCAGTTCACCTTTCATGCCCTCACTCTTTCGCAGATTTTTTGTGCATTTTTGCATACTTTTTTTTTTAAACAGCGCATTGTGTTCTGCGACGTGATAGGCTATAGATCACTGTCAATCAATCTCATTCCGCGTCTCCTGTACAATACAGAATGCGTTATGCTTGTCAAAGTTACATAAATCTTTGATCGCTACTGAAGTACCGTACTATATATTTGTAGGTTTTCTCTCCAACAAACACAACAATGTCGACGAAACATTTTGCACCATCAAAGGCACCTGTGGTAGCACCCAAAAGGCAGAGGAAGATGATAACCATCGAACAAAAAGTAGGACTTCTGGAAATGTTAAGGGAAGGTAGAAGTTACCGTATTTTTCAGACTATAAGGCACACTGGAGTATAAGACGAAACAAAAACAGTCAGAGAAGTCAAACTTTACTCAATTCATTCTTCTTGCTTCCTCTACTTCCCTACCATTGATTCATTAATATTGAATTCTCTCTCAGCTACACTCTTCCCATGTTCTGGAAATGAAAACAGGGATTGAGCTTTTGTTTAATTCTATAATACTGGACCTATTCTTCTACGAAGGTTTGAACTTTGAGAATGTTTAAACAAGAGAGAAAAGTGTGAAAATGGTCATGCCTGTCTGAGAAATGTGTAGGGATTTTACAGCATTACAGCATCTATAATAATTGTAAGAAATAAAGCTGACTACTTTGCAGGCTATTTTTAGAATGTAACTCCCGGGATAAATGAGGGACCATTGTAATGGATTGCGCAGCAGTAAGTGATATATATATATATATATATATATATATATATATATGTGTATGTATATATATATATATATATATATATATATATGTATGTATATATATATATATATATATATATATATATATATGTGTGTGTGTGTGTGTGTGTGTATATGTATATGTGTGTGTGTATGTATGTATATATATGTATATATATATGCAAAATAATTATTCCTGGGATTCAGACTCTGCAAAAGGAGAAATTTGATTTTTTACCTTAAAGTCGTCAGGCTACAATTTCGATTCTCCAGCCCAGCAGACAGAAGTTTTACTCCTGAGTCATGCAATTTGTTGTGGCTCAAGTCTAGCTCTGTCAGACAGGAAGAGACTGACTTCAGAACTGAGCCCAGAAATGTACAGCAGCTTCCTGGTAGTTCACAGTGAGTAAGTCTGAAATTACAGTACATTTATTTACAATTCAGTCACAAAATTTTGCTCGTCATGTAATGTTACTGGCAGTAGTCCTGACTTTTTTAATTGTCTGGTGAGTCTGAGAATAGACAAGTCACTGCAGAACAATTTGAAGAATTATTATTAATTCTTTACACTTAGAATTATTGAATAAAGGTTACTATAAAGGAGACCTTTATAGTAAACCTAGATTACTTTGGATGAGATTATAGATATGTGACACTGTCAAACACAGACCTCAAGGTTTCCAGTCTACATTTTGGACTTTCTAGTCCAGCTGAAAGCTGCTCCACTCCTGATTCCTGTAGCTCGTTTTGACTCAGGTCCAACTCTTTCAGATAGCACAAATTGTACTTCAGAGCTGAACCTAAATGAACACAGCTGATCTCTGACAAACTGCAGGACCTTAGTCTGAGTTTATAAAAGAAAAAAAAGGAAAAAATATCAAAAACACAACAAATTTTTCTAAGTAAATATTTTTCAAAAAGGTTCTTTTGACATGAAATCTCACCAGATATCGATAACAACGCATCCAATTCACACATGAAAAGATACCAAAACTGAAAATCTTAGAAATATGGTATCTAACTAGAGTCTTACTCTGGATGGCATTACCTGTGCCTCCAGTAATGCTATGAGGAACCTTGGATTCATTTTTGACCAGGATATGTCCTTCAACGCACATACTAAACAAATATTTAGGACTGCTTTCTTAACAGGCCCCTTATTTTATCTTAATGACCTTATATTACCATATCAACCTATTAGAGCACTCCGCTCTCACACTGCAGGCTTACTTGTTGTTCATAGAGTATTTAAAAGTAGAATGGGAGGCAGAGCCTTCAGTTTTCAGGCCCCTCTTCTGTGGAACCAGCTTCCAGTTTGGATTCAGGAGACAGACACTATCTCTACTTTTAAGATTAGGCTTCAAAATTTCCTTTGTTTTCCTTTTGCTAAAGCATATAGTTAGAGCTGGATCAGGTGACCCTGAATCCTCCATTAGTTATGCTGCAATAGGCGTAGGCTGTTGGAGGATTTCCATGCTGCACTGGGTGTTTCTTCTGGACTCACCCTTCTCTCTCCCAATATGTGTTAATAGACCTATCGGCATTGAATAATTAGTTTTTATAAATTTCTGTCTCTCTTCCACAGCATGTCTGTAAAGTCTTTCTTCCCTTTCCCCAACCAGTTGCAGAATATGATTCTTTTGCTGTTGAAAGGGACTTTTTCGTTTATACTGTCACCAACGTGTTTGTTTAGGGGGTTATATGATCGTTGGGGTTTTTTCCCCTCTGCATGTATTATTGTAGCTTCTAGCTTACAATATAAAACTCTTGTTTTGATTTGGTGCTGTGTAAATAAAAGTGCATTGAATTGAATTGCATGTGTTTATTATTATTTGTTTGTTTATTTATTTATGTTAAGGTTAAATCTTGCTTTTTTCCGCCTTTCTTCTTGTTTGATGCTTTTGGGCAATTTGAAGAAACTGTGAATAATACTTTACATTTTAAAGCCAGCCAGCTATTGTCAACTAATACATTCATATGATAGAGTCTTCCAAAAAGACACAAACTTTTGCCAACATGTGCATCAAATTCCAGGCTTTTGGTTTTGGGTATACAGTACCTCTTAGTTACCATTTTAGAAATCAAATAAAATTATTTCATGTATATCATTAAAAAAATATCTAAATATTGTTTCAGACCTCAAAGTCTCTAGTCTCCAGTCAGGACTCTGTAATCCAGCAGAAAGTCCTGCCACTGCTACATCATGCAGGTTGTTTCTGCTCAGGTCCAGTTCTCTCAGGTGGGAGGGGTTAGACTTCAGCGCTGAGACCAGAGAATCACAACTGATCTCTGTTAGTCCACAGTTAGCAAGTCTGTTGTTACAGAATAATACCAAGCAGAAAAGGTTAACATTATTATCATGTAAAATTACTCAAATATGCTTCACTGATCAGTAATAGAAGTTGATCTATATATTGTAACAAATGTACAACAAATAAATTGAGGACTTTTTTTGTATATTTGCCTGCACAATTTCAAGAAGAATACTACTCACAGCACAAAAAGTAATGTACTTTCAAACCAAAACTAGAAACTATTAAAAGTAATTTGAAGTGCATCCAGAAAATATTCACAGGGCTTTACTTTTTCCAGCAGTGCAGTCGGTTTTGGGGGAATTGCCAGGAGAGGATGGTAGACAGCTGGTAACCTTGGTTTAATCATGCCTGCCCTATTTAAGCAGTACGTCGGGACTCAAATGAGTGGAGAGTTGGAGGAGAGAACCAGCAGCAGCAATGACAGCAACAATGTGCTGGTGGTGGCAACATCACCTGGCAGCCACCCACACAGTGGTTGCTGCGGCTGTTGCCCTTGCCGGTGGGAGTGGGCCCAGGTAGCAGCTCTCAGCTTCCCTGTGACACCGAGGATATCCTTTGAGTAAGTGTACTGAGCAAGGATGATCAAGGGAGGTCAAGAGCTAGTAACCATTGTTCAATCATGCCTTCCCTGTTTAAGCAGCACGCCAAGACTCAGAAGTAGAGTGTGGGAGGAGACGAGCAGCAGCAGCAATGACAGCAACAACAACGTGCCGGTTGTGGAAACATCATGTTTTCGACATTTCTGTGGTTTTTCTGCAGCAATGGCTACATTGCTGCTGGATTATAATCAATTAACCTATCCCCACAAGCTGCATGTCTTTGGACGGTGGGAGGAAGCCGGAGTACCCGGAGAGAACCCACGCAAACACGGGGAGAACATGCAAACTCCACACAGAAAGACCCCGGCCTGATGGTGGAATTGAACTCAGGACCTTCTTGCTGTGCGGCAACAGTGCTAACCACCGTGCCACCGTGCTGCCCTGTATACAGTTTATTTATTTTATTTTATTTTATTTACACAATAAAAAATAAATAAACTGTATACAGTTTATTTATTTTTTATTGTGTAAATTAAATTTTTGTAAAACTAAGGTTCCATGTGTCACTGTTGAAGTGGGGCATTAATCAGTGTGATGCCACTTGTAAACATGTTGCATGTGTGGGGTTTCCCAGCCAGAGCTGCATGGACTCCACACTGGTGAGGCACACTTTCTGTAGCTCCTCTCCCTGTACTAAATTGTACATTTAAATTTGTTGTATTTTTCTTTGCTAAGTATTAGTTCTTATGGCTAAAAGCTCCCAAAGTGTTTTTGATTGCTTTGAACGAGACAAATAGTAATTGGAACTTCATTTTATCTGTTACACCATCCGTTTATGTGGTCCTTACTTGTGCTAAACAGGGATGAGGAGAGGCCTGCTGTTGCTGTGTGACACTGATTTTGCTGCTGCACTTTGTCTTGTATAGTAAATGTATAGGTTTTGTTTTATGTGTATAATGAGTTCATGACCTGAGGCTGCACACTGAATAGTATTTTCAGCCATGTTGAGAAAAGTTAAAGTTGTTTGAATATGTATTGTGTAATTGATTGATTGATTGATTGGTAATTTATTTCAACATGTGAACAATATACAAGTACATTTAGAAAAGAAATGAGAGTAATTGATCCATCTTAGTGGGGATTTAAATATTACAAGTTATTATTAATGGCTTCATATTTGTCTCTGTTTTACCCCACTATAACATTTGATTTTAAAGTGGCTGTTGAGAGAAACCACACCGTTGTTTTGATAGATTGTATTTTCTTTTATATATTGTAAGCAGAGCTGCATGGACTCCACACTGGGATGAGGAGAGGCCTGCTGTTGCTGAGTGACACTGATTTTGCTGCTGCACTTTGTCTTTTAGAAATAAATCCAGTTTCCAGCCAGTCTGTGTCTGTCGTCACAACGCAGTCAACCATTTGAAATCTGCTACACCAAGCTTGTAACATTATACCCAAGAGGGCCTGAGGCTGTAATTGCTGCCAAAGGTGCTTCAACAAAGTATATAGAATTTTGAGGTGAAAAAATGAATTTAATCACTTTTGGAATGTAAGATGACAAAATGTGCAAGTGAAGCACTGTGAATACTTTCTGGATACACTATGTTTTAAACTTGAAAGTCGTAAACACAGGTTTCCACACAGCCCCAAATCACCACTAAAAAGTTATTTGTGACTAAAAGTTGTGATTTATGAGGTTCAAAAGGCAAAAATTAAACTAACACCAGTGTTTTAAGTCGACAGTTTGGACTCTCCAGTCCAGTAGACAGCTGCTTCAGTCTTGAATCCTGCAGTTTACTTCCTGTCAGGTCAAGCTCCGTCAGGTGGGAGGGGTCAGACTTCAGGGCAGAGGCCACAACTTTGTAGTGAGTCTCTGACAGCCAACATTCAGAAAGTCTGAGATTGAAGAAACAATGGAAGTCAGGGATTTATCCTAAATACTAAGGACAGAAAACAAAAATGGCAATCACTGTAAATGGAAAGTTAAAAAAGTGCACTGTGGAGCACTCATAGCTGTTGAGTCATATTTATCTCATGGAAGACCAAAGTGAGTGGATGTCAACGGACACCTACCTACCCACTGTGGCCTCTCACGGTCATGTTTGTTAGTACATTAATAATAAAAAATACACATTATAAAGGATAAGTGGAAGAGAATGAATGGATGGAACATCATAAAGGTAATTGAGCTATAGAAGAATAAATACGTTATCCCACAATGAACAGCAATTAAAGGTACAGTGCCACAAGTGGCTGGTAAGGGCCTTATACTACAATAGAATAGAATAGAATAGAATAGAATAGAATAGAATAGCCAACTTATTATCATTTAGTGCATACACCGGTTACTGCAGGTTAGAACGAAATTTCAGTGCATTTATGTGCAATTAATAGCATGCACAGCAACTATGAAATCGTGATGAAAAACAAAGAAGAGTAAATAAGTTATGAAATAACGAAGTTTGTTAAAAATCAGTCAAAGGAAAGCAGACATTGTGAAGGATTTGTCTTGGGACACATGAGGCTGAGAGAATCTTTTTACTGTCATATGCTAAAAATACAATAAGTATTATATGCTGTCCCTTTCAGTGAAAATAAAGCAATCTAACTATTCACACAGACAGACACCATGTCCAGCTGGTTAGCCACAGGATCTCTGGTCGTCATTCTCAACCACCTTTGGGGATGTATCCCATTTTGAACTCAGAACTTGCCAAGCAAAGACTTCAAAGACCAAGTAAAGACTAAGGCCTCAGGTATGGGAAGCTTGCTATACTTCTTAGGCATCCCTGTCTTCATCACACCTTTCTGCAGCACTAGTAGTTGGCTAACTTCCCTTTGTGTTGCCTTTATCTTGGCCTCTAGTCTCTTACTCCATGGAGGGTACCGCTCGTTGTGGCTGTTGATCTTGTAGCCAAGCATCTCAGTGATCACTGCTGCCGTGGTGTAGATTAACTGGTTGGTTTTGGTGATGGTCGCTGTAGGATTTTTTAGTAGACCTTCAAAGGACACTTCCTACAGTCTTGGTAATCAGCCATGGAGGGCCCAGGTTTCCAGCTTAGTTATAATCCTGCTCTCACACTCAACACCTTCAATGCCCAGATGTTCTTGGGACTTGGTACCCAATCTCAGAGGGTGGGGATAATGACATCGCCCCGCTTACTTGACATCCTGGCTCCCCCTTGCCAGGTGTTAAAGATTCCATGGGTCCCACATACTCTTCATGTTATATCTTCCTATTCTCATTCCTTGACCCCTTTATGCTTACTTGTTCCAGTAGCCAGGACACCAGGACACCTGACATGTAACTTGTTAACCCAGACAATATCCAAGCCTGGCTTCAGTTATATATATCTCACACATATCCGAGATAGGCATGGGAATTAGAGGGGCCTAGCCTGGGGACCCTTACTGGATACATATGCTCTAGTCAAGAGTGCGACCCCCACTGCTTTATTTAATTATTTTTCTTAATCAGAATCAGAAAAAGAATACTTTATTTATCCCAAAGGATTTTAAAGGTTACAGCAGGCAGCTCGCTAATGGCGCATGCACACTTACAAAGGAACCTTCTGACCAAGCTTTACTCAAACATCACATTGGGAAGACATGTCAGAGAGGTAGGCTAATAGGAAAAAACAACAAAAATACATAACATGAGGTCAGAAGAGAAGAAAAAAAAAACTCCACTAAGACTGAGCTCCTAATGGGAGAACAGTTTGAGAACAGAAACGGTGCGTTGGTGGTTCTTTGTGTCTGGGGGTGGGCGTCCGGGTACACACCGGCTCACTCCTTGGCGGCCGCTTATCGGGGCCTGGAGCCTGGGGCTCGCTCGGGCCACTTCGGAGGTGGGGTGCCCCCGGCCTCTCGGCCTGGGGCTCGGTCACTCAGGCACAGCTGGCTGCCAGCGGAGCTCACGGGCCCGTCACTGCAACCCCCCCTGGCTTCTGCTCCGCGGCTGCTGAGTGACCCCTCATCTGGGACTCTCCTCAGCTCTTACTGGGACAGTGGCGCGGCTGCCCCTCTGTTGGTCTTCCTTGGTCTCTTGTGTTCTGGGGGCCTCTGGATGTCTGGAGTTTTGATCTCCTCCATACCTGCTTCATACCCTGGAGGACGGGGCTGTGGCTCCCCACACTCCCTAGCAGATCGTTACATGGAGAAACCTTTGGAATGCAAGCATGCTGATCCACACAGGTATGCACACAGGTGTACACACGGGTATTCACAGACACGGACTACAGCTTTCTTGGCTGCTGCCTCAAAGCACATTGTGCGCTGTCTATCTTGCGTGCTGCACAATATCGTTTATTATTTAGTATCTACTGATATCTACTGCTAGCTAGTTTATTGTGATGCTGCCATTTTTTTTTTAGTATGTTGCTCTTTGTTGTTTGCTTTCTCTTCTGTTTTTTTTCTCCATACAGGTGACCCAGGTGTTTTGTTTTCTTTGTTTGTTTGTTTTTTGTTTTGTTTTTTCTTTCTTCCCCCCTTCTCACCGTCTCTTCTCCCCTTTGGTTTTCTTTCTCTCCCTCTCTTTCTTTCATTCTTTCCCCCTGTCCTATCCCACAGTCATGTCTGTCCCGTTTGTAGCAACTGAAAATAAAATAAATTCATAATTATAATAAAGGTCAATCAAATGGACCAATATGGCAAGGCCATGATGATCCACTTGGTAAAATAAATCCGCTTGGCATCTTTCTTGGCCTTAAGACAACAATTCTGATGGCTAAAGATCCAAACGGGACAAAAAAAAAAAAAAAAAAAAAAAAGAGAACAGAAAAAAAACACCCCAGCACAAAAAGCACCTAACTGTCAATACACCATAGAAACACAAGACGGGCAACAGGGGTGGGTAAGGGTAAGAGACAGCCAGTGTAGACAGTGCATCCGGTCCTGCAGCATGTCTGCACTGGTCCAGTTGACCCGCCATCTGCCCCGGGAGGGAACCAAAGCATGGGAGGAGGCGTTAGATTCGGGGGAGTGGGGGTGATAGTGAGGGTGTATCAGTATCAGTGTACATGTTTTGTGCGTGTGCGTGTATCCCATGCTCAGCTGAGAGAAAGTGTCACCACGCCCGGTTAAGCGAAGGTCAACAGTCTCCAGTGGACCCAGGTGGCCTTGAAGGAGGTACAAAGAGTTCTGACAACAATCCTGTTATCATGGAGAATTTTGTTGTTCTAGTCAGCTTCGACCATGGCAAGCCTTCAGCTGGCGCCACTGGGATAGTTGCATGAGCGAAGATGGTGAATGTTTGGGTTTAGTGCGAACAACTGCATCCAATTTTTTACAGTTGGTCTAATGTCCATCACTGGTCCCCAATTCTCTCAATTCCCATTGTTCTTCTCCAAGATCTTATCCATATTGCATTCAAAACACAGTCTGAGTACTCACAGCCCTGCCAATCGTCTATCATGTTGGCCAGCCTTATGGGATTTTGAACAGCTGTAGCCGCTTCTTGTTCTTCAATAAGCCAGGTCCGAGCCAGCTCCAGTCAGCCAGAAATCTGTTATTGTGGTTCCGCATTGGTAGATGTCCTCCATCGAAAGTGTCACCAGACACACGACGCAACCGACCATTGAGTATCCGGCAGCAAACGTGTCTGCAGGACAATCGGACTCTCCCAAGCCCAGGAGAGTGTCAATTCTGTTACGGGACCAGTTGATCAAATCCATAATTATTTAGATTTTAGAGAACAACACTGAGAAACTCCTTCAGGGATATAGTTAGACTGGAACCCATCGCCAGATCGTCCTGTCTCAGGAAAACCAGGGCCATCACATATGTCCCCTTACATCCAGCCCATCACCTGTTTGACCCACTGGCCTTTGGTCAGCGCTTCCAGACTCACAAACAGCTTCTTCCCCTGGCCCATTCGGACTGTAAACAACACTACTAAAGAAAACTTCACAGAGCAAAGCACAACATTCAACTACTCGTTAGCCTCAAGACAAAAACAAAAAACATAACAAGTAATTTACAAAAACAAATTAATGGAAAGGCTGATCAATTCTAAAACAACATTCTTTGAACACATGAAAGTCAGATCAACCTCCAAGATAATGGATGGAAGAACAAAAGATGGAGCGGACACCTCTAAATGTCAAAAATGACACCACAACAGAACTGTCAGATAGAGCAGGGCGATATGGCCAAAAATATTTATCACGATATATATTTGACAATTTGCGATAATGATATAACTGACAATATAATTGATGCGAGACAAAATACAACTCCACAACTTTACTAGCGCAAAAAAAACCCCATCCATTTATTTTCACTTAAACAAGCAGCTGTTTTTTTTATGTGCATTAAAGCTATATAAAAATTTAACAGTGAAAATGCATATTCCTTGCTGAAAGTTTAACCAAAAGGCATTTCCAGTAGAAATGGGCTGACATATCCTGAGCATAACCATATATAATGTCCACTGAAGTTAAAAAGAGGTGCTTTGCTACATTAAACTGCAGTGTGCCAAATAAAAAAGGTCAAATATGTATTTTTCGGACCATAGGGTGCACGGGATTATAAGACACATTAAGCGAAACAAAGCAGTCAGATAAATCAAACTTTATTGAACTCATTCTTCTTGCTTCCTCCACTTCTGTACTATTGATTCATTAATGCTGTATTCTATCACAGCTGCTCTATTCCCATGTTGCAGTATATTAATGGCTAACTTCGTAATGTGGATGGATTATCTCAGTTGTTCTCCTGACTGAAGTTTGGTCCGTTTACAGCATCCTGCCGTGCAATTGCATTTGTCCCTAACCACCAGGAACCCTCACGTTAACTTTTATCGAGGGGAAAAGTGTTAGCGTTGATTCCTCCAGCTTCACTGTTTATGTTATGCTAACATAGCTGTGTCGCTAGCGATCACGTAGCACATCATTATATACCAGCTAGCCCAACTTCAGTAACCCTACAAACGTCACTGCTGTTTAGTTTCCTGTCTTCATGTATGTTGGAAGTGATAGCAGAGCAGTACGTTTGAATTTTTTCAGAAATCTCTCAGTCAGAACATGCTTTATCATGCTTAGGTAACTAGCGAAACTAGCGAGCTAACTTCCGCTAGCTTCCTGCTAACTTCTAACTTCGTTAAATGTAATAAATTCTTTTTTCATGGATGCCTGGATGTAGAGCTGGGCGATAGAACGATAACGATATGTATCGCGATATAACTTTTACTCGATAGAGAAATTAAGCTATCGCGATAGACCTCGCCGCGCTTGTCCTCTTAAAAAAAAAAAAGGTCAGCCAATCCAAATTAAGTAGCGCAGAGCCGAACCAATCACAGCCGCAGCGTCACGTCGCGTGACTTGTTACGTACAGCACAAGTGCCAAGCCGCACGTGTGTTTGTTTGGGAAGCAGCCAGCGGGTAATGGAGCCAGCGCGTAATGGAGGAAATGAGTGTGCCGACTAGAAAAATCAACCGAGCGTGACCTTAAGAGAAAACAGATGATGGTTCCAATGCCGGAGAGATTGTCGAACGGAAGAGCCATAGAAGCTCCGTAGTGTGAAGGTATTTTGGCTATTTCAAGTCTGACAAAAAATAGAGTAGCGTGCACTGTAAATTGTGCCGAAAACAAGTCTGGAAATACAATAAACTGGTGCATGCGTCACACTGTGCGCCACGTTATTGTTTCGGTGAAATGAATTTCTACAATACTGTTACTGTTAATTCTACTCTCTGCAGTGTTTTAAATGCTTACATATATACACAGTTACTGTCCCTCCACACATACGACTCGGTTCTGCTTCTATGCCCCAGCTTTGTTTACTTTTTCCCACCGAGGCTTCTAGACTTCTGATTGGCCAACATTTCTGCACGGTTAGGAATCTAGCGCCACCTGCTGCTTTGGCATGTTCATAGCAGCGTTTTCCTTCATTTCTGCCTTTATGTGTGGACGGGATTATTTTTTAAAACGAAAACGGAAAATCTCAGTTTTCAAAAATACCCGTGTACGTGTGGACGTAGCCTCAGTCTCTGACTGGAAGCGCTGATTCGTCATTCGGCTTTTGTCAGACTAAAGTAACTGTTAAAACTGTTTGAAAAGCTCAGCTATACAACAAGGAGAGATTGAGAATTTCCTTTTAGTTCTCAGTTTATTTGATATTGACAAAAGTTAGTCAGTTTTGTCTGTTCTTCTGTAAAACAAACTAAGATTTATTTTTAGAATTAATATTTTGTTTCTAAGTGGATTTGACAATTTAGTCTGTTTCGTTTGTTCTATTTTGAAACTTAAACGCTTTAGCAGCTGCCTTTTGTGTAGTTTGCAATATTTGCCTTTATTTATCTGAAAAAGTCTCATGTTCCTTAAGTACATCTACCCTGTTGAACTTATTATGAGAAATAAATATTTAAATCAAAACAAGCTGCTGATTATTTCACATTTTACTTGTGAGCAACGGCACATTTAAATCTTACAAATATAGTTATTTGGCTTATATCGTGATAGATATCGTTATCGACTGAAATGAAAAAAACATATCGTGATATGAAAAAATCTCATATCGCCCAGCTCTACCTGGATGTCAAACTTCATAGTTACACCTGGTAAAGCAGCAATGCTGATCGTTTTATTAAAGACGAAAGAATTTAGACAGTTTTTAGCTCTCTCAGCTCTCAGCGAAGGCGGTCGCACTTCTCCTCTCCTCCTCACCCTTATCTTCCCTGCTTGCCTCTATGTCCTCGTCTTGTCTTGCGTGCATTACTTTCCCTGGAACAGTCTCTCACTGTCGTTCTCTAAACCTAAAAGACAATTATGGATTTGATCAACTGGTCTCTGAGTGCTATTGACACCCTTTTCTCAACGAGAAGTCGGGGCTCGGGAGAGCCTGAGTGCCCTGGAGGGACTTTCCCTGCCGGTTACACGATGGACGGGTGGCAGAACTGGAGGACTGTGTGCCTGGCGGGACTGTCGATCGAGGACGCTGAAGATATCTACCTATTCGGAACCATGATAACAGGGTTCATGCTGATCGGCGTTGGCCTAGCCCTGCTTTATCAGAGAAATAAGAGAGCGGAACCGGCTGTTCAAACCCCCACATGGCTGCCCGCTGGATTCGAAGCGCCGGGACGAGGTGCGACCTCTCACAACGAACGTAATATGGTCAACACCTTGGAGACGCTTACTGCTGCTGTGAAGGCTCAAAACAACACCATTGAGCGTATGAGGGGAAACATCAGAGAGAGGCCTGCTCAAAATGACACCCTTGAGCGACAGTTGGAAAACATCACCGAACGGATCACTGCAGTTGTGAAGTCTCAGAATCAAAAGACTGACAACACCTTGGAACTGAAGTTTGATACCATCATGGGGAGGCTCGCGGCTCTCCAACGCGAAGTTGAGGGACCAGTCTCAGAGTGCTAAAATTCGAGCTGCTCACAAAACAGAAATCAACAATATTCAACATTCGGACACCACGGCGCCAGCTGCAGGCCCAAGGCTGGAGCCCACCAAAACAACTCCCTGATAACGACTGTGTGATGACTATTCTTCCCGTCCCATGAAGGCCACCTGGGTTGGCTGGCAGACTGTTTACTTAGCCTGATAGTGCGAAGGACACTGTCTCCGCTGAACTCTGGACACACACGCACACACACTTACACTGACAAGCACTCACTCATCCCCCTCCCTTTCCAACGCCTTCGATGCTTGTGCCCTACCGGGGAAGATAGCAGTCAACTGGACCAGCGCAGATGCTGCAGGACCGGATGCGCTGTCTACGCCGGCTCTCTCTTACCCTTTACCCGCCCCTGTTGCTTGTCTCGTGTTTCTATGGTGTATTGATAGTCATGTGCTTTTGTGCTGAGGTGTTTTTTCTGTTATCAAACTGTTCTCCCACCAGGAGCTCAGTCTGAGTGGAGTTTTTTTTTCTCCTCCTCTTACCTCATGTAGTGTATTTTCTTTGTTTTTTCCTATCAGCCTACCTTTCTGACATGTCTCCCCAATGTGATGTTTGTGTAAAGTTGGTCAGAAGGTTCCTTTGTGAGTGCGCATGCGCCATTAGCGTGCTGCCTGCTGTAACCCCTAATTTCCCTCGGGATGAATAAAGTATTCTGATTCTGATTCTGATTCTGATTTTAACTCTCAGTGATGCTGCAGTGTTCGTTTGACTTTGGAACCTGAAGGGAAAGGAGTTTAGGACCCAGATCACTCCCAGATTTACGAGCACCTTAGTCCGACAAATACGGCAATAACGACGGCCCGCTTGCGTGTTCTACAAAGAAAAATGTGCTTTGGTGGGTATCTGATGGACAAACACCAAATCACTTCCACATCACTGAAGTTTCACCATTTTTACAAACCAATTCTGGTTCATCCGTTTCACTCAATCGGCCATGTGCGTATGAAAACAAAGGCGCGTTTTACCCATATTCTATTGCGATATTTCATTTTCTTATCGTTGCCTAACATTGTATCGGTATTACCGTGAACGGTACAATATGGCCCAGCCCTACTGTCAGATGTACAGGAAGATATTACTCTCCCAGTCACTAACATGTACCAAAGCTTCACAAGACACATAGACAGTGATCTAAAATATTGTGTAAACTCAACAGACCCAGGAGGAATATAAAACCCGTTTATGTGAAGCCTATGCAGCTGCATGTCACGGCTGAAGAGCAAACCAAAGGCAGGAGGAAATCCATTCTATACTCCACAGGTTCAGATTTCAATTATTCCAAAGAGCTTTAACAAAATTCCTTATTTACCATTAAGAAAAGAAGATTTTGTATGAAAATGACCAAAAAAAACCTTTTCAACGTTTTTGTTGAAACTTCAAATTAAAGCTCAGAATCTGAAATTATCACACTATTTTCATTTTAAATAAATTTAGTGTGAAGAGAACAAACTATAAAGTTGTGTCACCATTCACATACTTCTAGACCTTAGAGTATATATCAGACAGCTGATGGCATCTTTACAGTTTTTAGGATGATATTAACATCTGGACTCACCGAGCCTTCCTGCAGTTTCTCACAGCCGGAATAAGCCTTAGTCTACCCTCCCATGATGTGTTGTATTCATCCAGGTCAAACTCATCCAGAACCTCCTCTGTCATCTGTAGCATGTAGGCCAGAGCTGAGCAGTGGATCTCAGAGAGTTTCTTCTCTGATCTGTTCTCTGACTTTAGGAAATCCAAGATTTCCTGATGTACTGAGAGGTCATTCATCTCCATCAGACAGTGGAAGATGTTGATGATTCTGTCAGGAGAAATAAACTTAGCTTTCATCTCCTTCAAGTTGTTAATGATTCTCTCAATAACTTCTGGACTGTTCTCTGTCTGACCCAGCAGACCACATAATATTATTTGGTTGGACTCCAGACATAGGCCATACAGGAAGCGGACAAACAGGTCCAGGTGGCCATTTTTACTCTGAAGAGATTTGTTTAGGCCCATGTGCAAAAAGTCAGCTACAGATGTGTAATACAAGTCTTCATCATAATCCTCATCATCATCTTCCTCCTCTTCATTCATTTCATCTTCCAGGAAGTCCTCCAGCACCTCCGTCTTCCTGTTAGTGAAACAGTGGAACATGTAGACAGCAGCCAGAAACTCCTGAATGCTCAGATGAACAAAGCAGTAGACTGGTTTCTGGAAGATCACACACTCTCTTTTGAAGATCTCTGTACAAACTCCTGAGTACACCGAGGCCTCTGTCACATCCAGACCACACTGCTCCAGGTCTTCTTGGTAGAACATGATGTTTCCTTTCTCCAGATGTTCAAACGCCAGCCTCCCCAGCTTCAGAAGAACTTCCCTGTCAGCCTCCGTCAGCTCCTGTGGACTCGTCTCATGTCCCTCGGGGTACTTGTTCTTCTTCCTCTTTGTCTGAACCAGCAGGAAGTGTGAGTACATGTCAGTCAGGGTCTTGGGCAGCTCTCCTCTCTGCTCTGTAGTCAACATGTGCTCCAGAACTGTAGCAGTGATCCAGCAGAAGACTGGGATTCTACACATGATGTGGAGGCTCCTGGATGTCTTCATGTGGGAGATGATTCTGCTGGACAGCTCTTCATCACTGAATCTCCTCCTGAAGTACTCCTCCTTCTGGGCGTCAGTGAAGCCTCGTACTTCTGTTAGCCTGTCAACACATGTAGGAGGGATCTGATTGGCTGCTGCAGGTCGGGAAGTTATCCAGACGAGAGCCGAGGGAAGCAGATTCCCCTGGATGAGGTTTGTCAGCAGCTGGCTGACTGATGACTTCTGTGTGACATCAGACAGCAGCTTCCTGTTGGTGAAATCCAATGAAAGTCTGCTTTCATCCAGGCCGTCAAAGATGAACAAAAGCTGAGAGACAGCCAGCTTCTCTGCTGTGACCTTCTGTAATGTTGGATGGAAAACATGGAGCAGCTCCAGAAGACTGTACTGCTCATCTCTGATCAGGTTCAGCTCCCTGAATGAAAGCAGAACCACCACACTGACATGTTGGTTCTCCAAGCCCTCTGCCCAGTCCAGAGTGAACTTCTGCACTGCAAAGGTTTTTCCAACACCAGCCACGCCGTTGGTCAGAACCACTCTGATGGGTCTCTGTTGGTCAGGTAAGGCTTTAAAGATGTCCTGGCACCTGATTGGAGCGTCATGGAGGGCGTCCATCTTGGAAGCTGTCTCCAGCTGCCTCACCTCATGTTGGGTATGAACCTCTTCAGTCTGTCCCTCTGTGATGTAAAGCTCAGTGTAGATCCTGTTGAGGAGGGTTCTACTTTCTGTTTCATCACTTCCTTCAGTCACACATTCACATCTCCTCCTCAGACTGATCTTATGTTTATCTAAAGCCTCCTGCAGATCAACATCTGCTGAAAGACATGATAATATTTAAGACCAAAAAGGAAGAAAACTTCAATGTTTGAAAAATCTATTAGTAGACAGATGTTCAATCTTACTATGTATACAGCTCCTCTGTCCAGTTGACTGCAGTCCATTGCTCGATCTTTCTCCATTATGGGGACAGGAGTCATCTTCTGTGTGTCCACAGCTAGTAGAAACGGGATGTTTCAGGACATCCTGACACAAAGCACACATAGGCAGCTGCTGACCCCCACCATCAGGACTCCTGTTATTGTCTCTGTGAAAATTCAGGAAAAATAAAAACTATGTCCAGATGAACAGAATCAAATTTTAGGGATTGGCTTACCTGGATGATGAGCATGCATCAGTATGTTTTATATAGTATTGCCAAATGTAATAATGCACTTTTATTTAATCTAAGATAGCACACATAAGCTCTGATGTATTTAAGTGATTCTCACAATAGTTACTATTCTTCAATCAGTCCAGGGCTGACTGGAAGCTCTTGGTGGCACTGTCACTTGGGGTTCGCTCTCTGCAGTAGAGTGTCACTTCCTGTTCCACCCACTGGGGTCAAACTCTTGTAATTGCCGATTCTGTTCTCAGACATGTGAAGCTAGAGACACCAGCAACCATAGACAATTGTCTTCCAGGGGCCAGAGCAGGCAACATTGAGGAAAATTTAAAACTGCTGGCTAAGGGTAAACGTAAATTCAGTAAAATTATGATTCACGGCGGCAGTAATGACACCTGGATGTGGGCTCCATAGATAATTGGCAAACCTTCTGGATGAAACCTGCTCTTGTTAGGAGAGACGGCATCCATCCCACTTTGGATGGAGCAGCTCTCATTTCTAGAAATATGGACAAATTTATTAAACCCACCATTTGATTGAACATGAAAAAAAAAAAATCACAAAGAAAGAACAATACAGTATCCACATCTGAACCAAAGAGTAAAACAGTGAAATGTGGATTATTAGATTAGATTAGATTACATTAGATTAGATTACATTAGATGAAACTTTATTAGTCCCTCGGGTGGGTTCCTCCGGGAAATTCAGTTTCCAGTAGCAAAGCACCGAAAGAAGTTGCATGTTACAGATACATTAAGGGGAATGAGAGTAAGGATATAAGTATAAATACACCATATATACACATATACACATATATAGATACAGAATATACAATATGGATAAATAGGATTGCTCATTTGAGTGAGTATATTGCACAGTGATTATTGGACAGTCAAATATAAGAAAAAAGACAAAACAAAAACAAAAAACAAATATTGCAAATATTGCACAGTGTAGAGAAGCACCTACAGCTCAGTTGTTCCCGCCCTCCCTTGTCCCCCTGTCTCCCCTCCCTCTCCCCTCCAGTGAGGAGTTAAACAGTCTGATGGCGTGTGGGACAAAGGAGTTTTTAAGTCTGTTGGTTTTTGACTTTGGGAGAAGCAGCCTGTCGCTGAATAGGCTCCTCTGATTGTTTACGACCGTGTGCAGAGGATGCCCGGCATTGTTCATAATGTCAAATCCTTCCCAAATCAAAAACCCTGGATTAACGGAGATGTTCGCGCGGCACTGGCGGCACGGAACACCGCCTTTGCCTCCGCGAACACATCGGACTACAAACACGCACATTACCAACTCCGGAAGACGATCAAAGCAGCCAAACGTGAGTACAGGGACAGGGTGGAGCAACAGTTTGACAACCCTCGGAGTATGTGGCAGGGACTAAACACGATCACAGACTTTAGAGGGAAAACCAGCACACCGCAGACCACGGCCTCTCTGTGTGAGGATCTAAACGTATTCTACGCTAGATTCGACACAGCGAACACCATGAGACCGGACAGTGTGCGCACCGCGGATGACGTCAGTGCGCACACTGTGTCTGAGGAGGATGTGCGGAAGTGCTTCAGGAAGGCGAACGCACGCAAAGCTACTGGTCCGGACGGGATTCCCGGCCGCGTCCTCAAGTCATGCGCGGCTCAGCTGGCTGGAGTGTTCACGCACATCTTCAACCTTTCCCTCTCTCTGTCTGTAGTCCCAGCCTGCTTCAAAATGGCCACCATCGTCCCTGTACCCAAATCCTCCACCATCTCCTCATTGAACGACTGGCGACCTGTAGCCCTGACCCCCATCGTTAGCAAATGCTTCGAGAAGCTGGTCAGGGACTTCATCTGCTCTGCACTACCCGACTCACTGGACCCTCTACAGTTCGCATACCGCCACAACAGGTCCACTGATGATGCCATAGCCCTGACACTACATACTGCCCTGTCACACCTGGAGAAGAGAGACACGTATGTGAGAATGCTGTTTGTAGATTACAGCTCAGCATTCAATACCATCGTTCCCTCGAAGCTGGACAGGAAACTGCAGGATCTAGGACTGAGCAGCTCCCTCTGCAGCTGGATCCTTAGCTTCCTGTCTGACAGACGCCAGGTGGTCAGACTGGGCAGCATCACCTCATCCCCCATCACACTGAACACTGGTGCTCCACAGGGGTGTGTACTGAGCCCTCTCCTGTACTCACTCTACACCTACGACTGCACAGCCACTAACAGCTCCAACATCATTGTGAAGTTTGCGGACGACACTACAGTGGTGGGTCTTATCACCAACGGTGATGAGACGGCTTACAGGGAGGAGGTCAGCGCCCTGACCCACTGGTGTCAAGACAACCATCTCACCCTCAACGTCGCAAAGACAAAGGAGTTGATAGTGGACTTCCGGAGGTGCAGAGAAGTACACACCCCCATCACCATCAACGGCGCTGCTGTGGAGAGAGTGAGCAGCTTCCGGTTCCTTGGTGTACATCTGGCTGAGGATCTTACGTGGTCAGTACACACAAACAAAACAGTGAAGAAGGCGCAGCAGCGCCTCTTCTTTCTCAGGAGACTGAAAAGATTCGGCATGAGCCCTCGCATCCTCAGGACCTTCTATCACTGTGCCATTGAGAGCATCCTCACTGGATGCATCACCACCTGGTATGGCAACAGCATCGCCTACAACCGCAAAGCTCTCCAGCGAGTAGTGCGGTGCTCTGAACGGATAATTGGAGGTGAGCTTCCCTCCCTCCAAGACATCTACAGGAAGCGCTGCCTGAGGAAAGCGGGGAGGATCATCAAGGACTCCAGTCACCCCAGCCATAAACTGTTCAGACTGCTTCCATCAGGAAGGAGGTTCTGCAGCATCCGGTCCCGTACCAGCAGACTGAGAGACAGCTTTTTCCATCAGGCCATCAGACTGCTGAACACGTCATAGACACCTCAGCTTCACTACTGGAACTTTAACATTATGCACTCCACACTGTATATAAATGCCACTTGTTTTGCACATATTCAACTCTGTATATTTTATATATTTTATTATTATTATTATTATTATTATTATTATTTATTTTAATTTTTTTTTACTATTTAATTTGTAAAAATGTGTATACACACACACACACACACACACACACACACGTAGGAAAATATTTAGTATACACATCCAGAAATGCATACACTATTATATATTGTACATATATTTATTAGTTTCAGGTTGGCCATTCTTGTATTTTGCTCGTTTGTGTTGTTGTGTTTGCACATCTCTGTTGCTTGTGGGGCTCGCACACAAGAATTTCACTCGCATGTGCTGTGCCAGTGTGCCTGCACATGTGATGTGACAATAAAAGTGATTTGATTTGATTTGATTAATGTCCATCAGTTTCTTTAAGGTCCTCTTCTCTGCCACTGTCACCAGAGTGTCCAGCTTCATGCCGACCACAGAGCTAGCCTTCCTGATCAGTCTCTCCAGCCTGCATGAGTCCTTCTTTGCTGTGCTGCTCCCCCAGCACACCACAGCATAGAAAAGTACTCCAGCAACCACTGACTGGTAAAACATCCTCAGGAGCTTCCTGCAGATGTTGAAAGACCTCGGCCTCCTGAGGAAGTACAGTTTGCTTTGGCCTTTTTTATACAGGTGCTGCGTATTGCATGACCAGTCCAGTTTGTTGTCCACCCACAGCCCGAGGTACTTGTATGTGTTGACCACCTCCACCTCCTCTCCCTCTATCTGAACTGGCAGTGGACCTAGGGCTGCTCGATTATGGCAAAAATGATAATCACGATTATTTTCACTGAAATTGAGATCACGATTATTTGACGATATTTATTTAACCCTTTAAGATCTACCATAGAACCAAGTCCGCCAGAGCTTATAATATTTTTTTTACATGCTGTAGTGCCATTTGTGGGAGCATTTCAAGTTGCTATACATCAATACAACTGTTATAGCCCATATTTTAAAAATGTGTATGTATTAAGTCCATAGTAACTACATTAATTGCAAAAAAGTGCAATAAACTACAAAAAAATTGAAAATCTTTTTGTTTTTTTTACATATATTTCTACTTGGAGAAATTTAAGAGGCTTATCCCTCAAAACTTTAAATACAAAAAAGTTGCAAAAAATAGTTTACAACAACAGGAAATTTATTTTGAGTGTCTTCATAGTTTTATTTTTGGAGATACAGCAATTTTTATATACACTGCAGGAAAAACAAAAAAACAATCCTATGATGCAAATTTGCAAAGAATGTGCATGTGCATCAAAATAAACTATTTCCAGCAGTGCAATTCGAGTTCTAAGGCCTACAAGTAAAAAACTACATTTTCCGCGAAAATGACGTCACTTGCGATAGTTCGCGTTGACGTCTTTTTCAATGTGGGAAGTGTTAAGAACAGCTGATCGGATCGGCAAAGCGTGTTTCTGGAATATTATGTTTTTGTTCCTGCAAGCGCTTTTTATGCAATTTTTGCAAAGCTATATGTGGAAGGAAACCGTGACCTAGGATAAGCTGATGGCATAAGATGTAAGTACAACTCCTCTGGTTTCATATGGAAAAAAATTTATTGTGCTAGCTTAGCGATTCAGGTTCTACAGGGATTTAAAAATAGTTATACAAAACGAGCATGCTGCTCTGACCGGCTTTAAAGGGTTAACAATAACAATGTATTGAATAATTACTTTAAAAAATAATATAAAATAGTGTGCAAATACTGATAACAGTGCAAATGTTTGCAATAAAAGAAATAAATAAATAAATAAATATTGTACTATTCTTAGTTAGCGTATTGTCTGTCTTGTCTTAATGTTGGTTTAAAATGGAGCACTGTAACAAAAAATAATTTCCCCCAGGGATCAATAAAGTATTCTGATTCTGATTCTGATGATTCTGAAATGAAAAATGTAAACTTTGCAGTGTTGCTCTGTGGTGCAGCTACGACACCATAGCAAAGTTTACACACTGTGTCTACTTGATCCACGTCTGACTCCGCAAACCCATAATGTTTCCACACCACTGAAGTTTTTTTTTTTTTACCTCTCTTTTCAACCAACGGCAGTCCACTCCTCTCCAAATAACTTCTGCTTAGCTTTCCGAGCTTCCCTCGGGTCCTCTTAATTGTTGTGACGCGTGTTCGAAATGCAGAGCAGTGCGCTTGATTTGCCACACGGAGCAGCGCGAGAGTAAAGCATGAGGGAGGGGCTAATAATCGGCTCAGTCATTTTTAATGATCGTTGAAAGCCCAGATCGTAATCGTGATTAAAATTCGATTAATTGAGCAGCCCTAAGTGGACCTGGTCTGGACCTCCCGAAATCCACAACCAGTTCCTTGGTCTTTGAAGTGTTGAGTTGCAGGTGGTTTGTGTGACTCCATGTGACAAAGTTCCTCACCAGGCTCCTGTACTCCTCTTCCTGGTCATCCCAGATGATGGGGTCCACCTGCATCCTGTTTAGTTTCTCCTGGAGCAGACAGGGCCGGAGGATTCTGCCTGGATGATATCAAGGAACCAGGCTCCACGGCGCCAAAACAGCAGAGACTAGCAATGTGGGAGAGGGCCGGCGCAGATCGCCGCAGACAGGGAGTGGACCAGCGGCGGATAAGAGAGAAGCTACGGAGCTTCCATCGGGCCCCACCGGGGAGCATCCGACTCTTGTGACTGAAATCAAGAGGGTCATTACGTCTCCACTGGAGCTTTAAAGTGAGGCATCCTGCTCTCATGCAGAGAGGAGGACTTCATATTACTCCTTAGTAAATCTACCAAGAATTTGAAAACTGTTTTGCTCAGGATTGTATAAGCTGAATTCTATATTTAAGAATTAAATATTTTATTGTTACTATTTCAACCAGTTCATCAAGCACTCCAATTATGAGCCTGCCTAAAGTGATTATTTTACTTTTATTTTTACCTGAGAAGGAATACACTTAGGCTTTTTACTTCTCAAATGACATGTGTTCCTCTGCTCTCCATGTATTCTGTGAAGAGTCTTTTTGCAATTACTCCCTGAGCTTGTTAAAGAAGGAACTTTATACCGGTTGGGTAACCCTGGCTTCAAAGAAGGATACTGGTGCTGGGTATTTTCCCTGACACTGATGAGAGGCCCTCGACTGGCACGAGGATTTCCTCTCAACTTGAGGTTTCACCTGAACTTCGGATTTGGAAGTCTTTGGTTTTGTTTTTTCGGTTTACTTGTTCATTGTTCTTGTTCATTTTCTGGTTAGCATGGGTGATGTTGCACAAAGGTACACAGACTGAAAAAGTTATATGCATCATCAGGAAAATAAAATAATGACGCTAAATGTAAAAGGGCTACATAATCCGATTAAAAGGAGTAAAATAATAGCTAAAATGAAACGTGAGAAGCTGCAGGTAATCTTTTGGCAGGAGACACATCTATCTTCTTTAGAACATGAAAAATTAAAAAATTTGGTTTCCAAACTACCTATTACTTGTCTCATAAATCAGGCCACAAAAGAGGAGTAGCCATACTGATCCCCAATGCTGTTAACTTTGAATTCTATTTAGAGGTAAAGGACAAAGAAGGGAGGTTCATTTTGGAAAAGGGTAAATTAGAAGAGGAGGAAGTAACATTATTCAATGTATATGCCCCGCCAGGAAGCTCCAAATCTTTTTATGAGAAGTTATTCGATTTAGTGGTCTTGAAAACACGAGGAGTTCTTATTTTTGGTGGCGACCTTAATGTTCAACTCCAACCAAAACTGGATGCATCCAACCACCGGCAAAAGAAAAGTTCGAATGCCATTAGGGTCCAACATGCTTACAGAACTGGGTTTGATTGATTTGTGGAGAGCCTCTCATCCAGGTGAAAAACAATTTACCGTAATTGTCGGGCTATAAGCCGCTACTTTTTGCACAAGCTTTGAACCCTGCGGCTTTTAGTCAGGTGCGGCTTTTCTATGGATTATCCATGATTTTTGTCATATCGTAAGACGATTTGTTTTGTTTGTTCCGCTGTTGTACGGCACTACGTTGCCTGGCGGAAGGGCATGTGATCAGACACACAGTATCGGGGTTCAAGAGTGGTATGTTGGTCACATGTCCATCCGCCAGGCAACATAGTGCCGTACAAGTAGCGCGAAAAACAAACTTCAAAGTAGCGCCACGCGTTCAGCGGGAGGCGTGGATGACGAGCGGCAATAAACTTGCGAAAAGCAAGTTATGCTCAACTCCACCGGTGGAATCTGACAGCGTGGAAAAGTGTGAAAACATTCATGATCACCAACGGATTTCGAAGGGCTGGACTGCTGCATGATGGAGAGGACACCGCCACGGCCCTTCTGAGGGTGTTCGACTCTGACACTGACAACGAGGATTTGTTTGGTTTTGAAAGTGACAACGAAGGAAAGAAGCTGAGAGTGGATGACGAAGCCATCCTGAGCCTGTTCGTATCCGACACTGGAGAAGAGGACTTTGGTGGTTTTAGTGCGCAGGAAGATGGTGGTGAATGACTGACTTTTCTTGAGCCTAAAAGGTAGTCCGAATCTATTTTTCCGGTGTGCTGTAGGTTATTGTTATGTACTACATTTGTTACTCATTTATGAAGCACAGTACATGTTTCGTACTTGTAATTACCACTACTTTTACATATACCTAAAAAGTTGTGCAAATATGTACCCATAACTTGTTTTTCAAAATATTAATAAAAGGGGTGTGTCTCCAAACAGCCATCTCTTTCCTGACAATTCCCTTTGTGCATATTCTCTTACATATGATAAGTCAACATTGAAACACCTGCGGCTTTTAGTCAGGTGCGGCTAATGTATGTACAAAACAGGATTTTCCCCTGATTTTAGCTTGTGCGGCTAATATTCAGGTGCGCTTTGTAGTCCGGGAAATACGGTACCTATTATTTTGCTCACTGTTTTGTATATACTCGAATTGACTACTTTTACCTCTCTGGGGACATCTCAGGCCCTCCAAGGTTTGGAGGCCTATCTCCCCCTACCACCACTTCCCCTGCCAGTGGCGGACTCCCTCAGACATCGGTGCGTTGGTGGTTCTTTGTGTCCGGGGATGGGCGTCCAGGTACACACCGGCTCACTCCTTGGCGGCCGCTTATCGGGGCCTGGAGCCTGGGGCTCGCTCGGGCCACTTCGGAGGTGGGGTGCCCCCGGCCTCTCGGCCTGGCGCTCGGTCACTCAGGCACGGCTGGCTGCCGGCGGAGCTCACGGGCCCGTCACTGCAACCCCCCCTGGCTTCTGCTCCGCGGCTGCTGAGTGACCCCTCATCTGGGACTCTCCTCAGCTCTTTCTGGGACAGTGGCACGGCTGCCCCTCTGTTGGTCTTCCTTGGTCTCTTGTGTTCTGGGGGCCTCTGGATGTCTGGAGTTTTGATCTCCTCCATACCTGCTTCATGCCCTGGAGGACGGGGCTGTGGCTCCCCACACCCTCTAGCAGATCATTACATGAAGGAACCAATCTAACAGCCCATGTCACCTCTAATTGCGGCCACATAATGATGTGAAGAAATTTTTTTTTTTTAATTATTATTCAAAAAATGATTTAATATGAAGGCAATAGCAGAGTGTTACAAGCATCGTCCTAAAGAATGTAGCCTGATGGGCAGTGTAGTCCGTGCTGCAGGGAGAATGGACTGCCATACCCGTTATGTGTCTGTGAGCGAGGGGGAGAAAAATCTTGTTTTTCCTCTGAAACAATAAGCTCTGTTGGAGCAGCCTTTCAACGCCTCTCTCTGTCTCTCGCTAGCAAAGTTGACCCAGACAACAAAGCAAAGCTAGTTTTCAGCTACGAGCCCGACAAGAACCCGACATATTAGCCAGAGGTCCCTTTACTATGGTTCGGAGCTGCGGACCTGTTTTATATACGCACGGAATAGTTTTCTATACTTTCTGTGAAGTGCAGCCTTACCTAATGTCCACCCTACTGTTACTCATTTATATTAAGATTTAAACATCTAGTTGGTATTGGTATGGCGACTAACCTTCAGTAATAGTAATAAATCACACAGCAATAGGACATTCATGTAGTTGTAAAAAGCATGATAATATATTAAATAATCCAAAGTATTCAGAATACGTTACAAAAGACATTTTGGGGCATGTAATCTGTAATCTGTAGTGGAATACATTTTTAAAGTAACCTTCCGAACACTGTGTACGCAGACAGAGAGAGAGAGAGGGTGAGAGTGTGTGTGTGTGTGTGTGTGTGTGTGTGTGTGTGTGTGTGTGTATCAAAAACACTTACTTTGGTTCAGCACTGAAGTATGGAGGTTCTTCTTTGGAACAATCACTCTTCACTGCAACATAGCTGCATCCTGGAAACTCTGCTGGTCCCTCCTCTTTCTTCACATCATTTATTTTCATCTTCCCTGAGTCAGCCTGAGAGGGAAACCGAATGTGAGTGCCAAACAGAAAGTCTCTGATGCTAACAGGTGGGGCTCTGTGATTGGTCCACTTGAAGTGACTGAACCAATGAATAAAGAGCAGGGTTTGTTTATCTTCACCCAACAGCTGCCTGTCTCCTGTCCAATCACTGATGCAGGATTCCTCAGCCCACTGAGATCTTTGTGAATACAGAAACTGTCATCTGTTTCACTAAACAAGTTTTAGCCCCTCCCCTTTTTTAGAAAGCTTTCTTCTAATTGGCTGATCTCACAGAGGGGTTAAACACAAAGTGCACTGACGATATACGTCTGTCGCCTCTGCGTGACACTAAACATATGAAAGACTGTGAGTCTGTAAAGCAGTCTGATCTTTGAGCTCACAGGCAATCCTGGGTTTTCTTACTGATTACGTATAACACTGAGCTCCTTATTAGAAGCTCTGGACATGTTTGATATGAACAGAAAACAGGAGAAGAACAGATCCACAGAGACTCACAGTCAAGTTTGATGTTGGTGCCAGGAGCTGACGACATCACTGATAAAAATCTGCTGTTAAACATGAGCGAAGGAGGGGTGTGATATCGACGGGGTGTGTGTGTGTGTGTGTGTGTGTGTGTGTGTGTGTGTGTGTGTGTGTGAGTGAAATAAAAAGAAAGCTGAGAAAACACTAACCTGCATCCTCTAAGCTCATGTGGCAGCTCCCTTTATTTCCAGGAAGTGATTCAAACATGTGTTCAAACAGTTAGAGCATGGGGGAGGGGCCATCAACAGCAGGAGGAGGCGGAGGTAACCAGGCAGTGTTTGTATTAGTGGCACAGACACACTCGAGCATTCCTTCTGACGGTTATCAATAAAATGCAGACTTATTTTACTTACTTTTATTCACCCACTCGTATAACCAAACACCAACAAAGTACAAAACATGGGAATAAACACATTAAACCTCATCTTTATATTAATTAGTATAAACAATTTGTGATCATTTGCATAATGAATGCATATTTGTTTCATGAGTACCATCACCACAGGAGAAGAAGAATGGAAAGGCATTAAAGAAGAAAAAAAATAATAGAAAGTACACAAAAAAGATGTACACGCCCTGTACTACCATTGTTTTTGTCAATGGTGACCATTCATCCATAAATCTGTTTAGCAGTAATTTTTCCCATAATTCCCAATCTTCCCTCAACGTCTCCAACAAACAGCACCGAGCAGGGCAGAGATGATAGAGACACATAACAAAACGTACCTCAACGTTTATAAAATATATACACTTCACGCAACAAACACAGCAGTACTGTTCATCCAAAATACTTTACCTGTTCATCTGTTTAGAGGCAGTCACCCTCTACAAAGTAGGCAAAAGAAAGAACATATATGTCTTTGTATTTTCCATCTTTTCTACAGATATTAAAAAGTTTGTACAGAGTGTCTGTACCTTTGCCAACTCTGCTCTGATGAAATTTCAGATTAATTTTTCAGATGTGACAGTGGGATTGTGAAAAAACCTTGGATATCAATGAAGCTCCGCCTCCTACAGTTTCCTGTACTTCAGGTTAGTCGAACAGAGCGCCTGTTGCTTGTTGAGGAGTCATCAAGATCAGGTATGTAAAGAAGAGTTTTTTTCATTGTCATCAGAGAGTTTTATGCTAACAGTCACAGTTAACATTTGAAAAGACAAATGTTCATTTACATTGAACTTGTTTTCATAATCTAGCTGAATAGATGTTCATTTTCATGGTTCAACTGTAGAACATGTCCTTTAGTGTTGGTGAAAGATGTTTGGGATGAAGATTAGAGGACATAACATTAAACTGAAGCTATAAAATCCTAACATGTGAAAAAGTATATATCATGTGTGTAAGAACACTTATCGAGACATTATACTTTGTAAGTATTTCAAAATCTGCCATGAAACTGTTGGAAAAACCACAAAAGTGTATTAAAAAAAAGTATTTATATAGTCTTTTTTTTTTCTTGCCTGTTCCGTTTGGCTCTTTTGCATCAGAATTATTGTCTAAAGGCGAAGAAAGCTGCCCAACGGATTTACTTTACTAAATGGACCGTCCCAGCCTTGCTGTAATGGTCTATTTGATTCACCTTTTATTGTTTATTTTATTTTATTTTCACTTGTTAAATGCAGACTTGACTGGTGAAAAGAAAGGGAAGAAAGAAAGGGAAAGAAAAACAGCAGGTAAGAGGGACGGGGATAAAGTGCAAATAACAAAAAACAACAAAATAAGCAGACATAAAATACATATATCAATCACCTGGATCACCTGTTGAGAAAGAAAAAAGAGAAAGCAAGCAGAAGAAAAAAAAAAAGAGCAACATAATAAACAACATCACGATGATCTCTGGGAATGTAACAGTAAATATTAAATATTAAAGATTATTGTGCAGCACGTAAGATCGACAGCGCACAGTGTGCTTTGAGGTAGGAGCCAAAAAGGGTGTAGTTTGTGTGTGAGAGTCCCCGTGTGTACACCTGTGAGCATGGATGCGCTTGTATTTAAAAGGTTCCTTCATGTAATGATCTGCTAGGGGGTGTGGGGCACCACAGCCCCGTCCTCCAGGGCATGAAGCCGGTATGGAGGAGATCAAGACTCCAGACATCCAGAACACCTCAGACCCTCAGAACACAAGACACCAAGGAAGACCAACAGAGGGGCAGCCGCGCCACTATCCCAGAAAGAGCTGAGGAGAGTCCCAGATGAGGGCTCACTTGGAGGGCCTGAGATGTCCCTAGAGAGGTGGCGTCTGATACCCAACCTGACATATAGACACAGACATATAGGCACACACAGATACAAACATCCATTCCCACCCTCATGCTCTCATATGCAATTACTCAACACTCACCCAACATGGAGACAGACATAAAGAGACACTGTACACACAATCACACTCCGCAAGCGTACTCTAAGCCCCAGGTCTACGTACCCTTGCCCCCCGGGGGGGGGGAACTGCACCTAGACCCAGGTGGTGTTACCCTTTTTCCTGGGGTGGAGAGAAGCAGACCCCGATCGGGCGGCCATCTCCTCCTCCTAGCCCCCCGCTCCAGCAGGCCGCAGAGAATGGGGGTGTGTGAAGACTCCAAACCTCCCTCAGCCCGCTCAAATGTAGTGTTGATGCATGTGTGTTCGTAAGGTGCATTTAAAACCTAGGAGGGCATGGAGCCACCTGCCAGAGAGCAGCAGGTAAGCGCATAGCCCCTCCTGATAGCCCTCGATGTCTACATGTATTTAAAATTGAGAGGTGGGCAATGACGCCAGGGGTCAGGTTGTAAACCCTGATGGTCTTTTGGATACCCTGCAGTGTGCCCACCCCCAAGATCCTATATGTATGTGTTATGAGAGTGTGAGTAATGTGAATGTCTAAGTTGTGAGATAAAATTGAGGCAGAGAAAGCCAAAAGGGGACAGAGGGGGGGATGCCTCTCCTGCACCCTGGTGACACACCTTTACCCCAAGGCCCTGCATGTGTGGGTGGTTGTGGTGGAGCGGGAAGAGGGAGGCAGCTGGAGATGGGGAGGGAAGGGAGGGGCACAGAGCCCGGGACAGCCCACCCGACCCCACCACAGAAAAAACTGCACCCACCCCATCATCCACTCATCTTCCAGACTACACAGGACAATAGATGCCCGGGCTGAGATCTTCCTCCACCTCTCCTATATCTCCCGAAGAGAGGAGACCTCCTGCAACATGTAACAGCCTCCCCCACCAGTTGAAGAGTCCCCCAGGTGGCTAGATGCACAGATGTGAGAAAAAAGTATATTCCTTACTGTTGGGGGGAAGGGAGCGCCATGCATCGCAAAGACCAAAGTCGCTCATATACTGTTTGATTATATTTGTGGACTGCCAATTACGCTGAGTTCCCGCTGTATTGAGCCTATCCATTTCTTCATTAGTCGAAGGTTGAGGTCGCCTCCAAGAACAAGTGTGCCATCTAAGTGTTCAGAGAGTGCACTGAAAGAAACGTGAAAGAATGAGGGACCATCAACATCTGGACCATATACACTTGCAATACATAGCTTTTTTATCAAGTATAGATAGTTTAATGATTAAGAATCTGCCCTCTGGATCTATAACTGTATCGAGTACCATGAAATTAATATTTTTATGTATTAAAATTGCTACTCCCCTTTGTCTAGAATTATAACAAGCTGAGAACACATTGGGAAACTCAGGTGTTTTAAGTTCATTCGAACCTCTAAGAGGTCTGTGGGTCTCTTGTAAAAGGACAACATCTGCCTGTAGTTTTTTGAGTTGGTTAAATATTTTTAACCTCTTTTCTCTGGAGCCAGCTCCATTTATATTCCACGTAATGAACCTCAGTGCACCCATAGATGTGTGTGTATAACTAGGGATGTACGCTTTGTGTGTCGCTTAGACAGGTGGAAAGAATACATCACTTGTTCATAAATAAAGAGAAGGAGAGAGAGAAAAAATGTGTGGCGAGATGCTCCCTGAGTCTGACTATGAGTCTGACTAGAGTGACGGTGTAAATTCTGCTATGATATCACACTTAAGATGCGATTTGATACTGGTAAGTTAAACAGATGTTAATGCAAGTTAGTGTGAGTGGATAGGGAAAGGGTGTAGCGGATTCTTATCTGGTGTGAGGTTAATACAGCCACGGAGTGATGTTGGGGTCTCGGTGGAGCTGTCCGTCCACGTACAGCCGGTCCACAGCGATGACAGCGCGGGAGCCCTTCTGGATGAAGCCGCGTCGGATTGGGAAGAGGACCCTGCGTCGCTCCAGGATCTCTTTTGGGAACTAGTTGTTTACGCTGAAGTCCGTTCCTTTTAATTCCCTGCCACGACTTTTCACCTGTTCCTTTTGTTTGAAGTGGCTGAATTTGGCCACAATAGGACGTGGTCTCCCGGTCGCAGCCCGCATGGGGCCGATGCGATGTACCCTATCGAAGGCGATGTTCTTCACCATGTCCTCCGGCAGCTTTAGGTGGGTTTTGATGAAGCTTTTCACCGTGGTCTCCGTGTCTTCTCCAGCGGCTTCTGGAATACCAGAAAATACAAGATTATCATGCATGCCACAAGCTGGTAGATCAATAGCTGTCTCTTTTATTTATTTATTTTTTCTGTTTAGCTGGGT